CTGGACTCTGTCCGCGAGAAGGCCTACCTCCCGGAAGAACGCTTCGCCACCATCAGGGATCTGGTCGAGCAGGTTCTGGCCGAATCCCATGTGACAGCCAAACAGCTACAAGTCTTACTGGGTCACATGGCGTCAACTACATCAGCCATCCTGTATGCCAGGCTACGCATGCGCCCACTGCAGTCCTGGTTCCTGTCCATCTTCAATCCTTTGTTGGACAGCCCATCAACCAAACTATCAGCTCCCCCTTGGGTTCGCTTGTCACTCCGGTGCTGGCTGGACCCTGCATGGGCTTGTTCGGGCCTGTCTTTCCACATCCCCCCTGCCACGAGAACTGTTACAACGGATTCTTCCCTCACGGGGTGGGGCGCGCATTCTCAGGGCTTGGTGGCTCACAGCATGTGGTCAGACCAAGAAAACGAGCTCCACATAAACGTTCTAGAGCTCATGGCCGTCGACAGGGCTCTAAAGTCCTTCGAAAGAGTGGTCACAGGTCAGGTAGTACAGGTACTTACCAACAACATGACGGTAATGTACTACCTGAACAAGCAGGGTGGCACCCACTCCCCGAACCTACTGACATTGTCCACTCAGATATGGGAGTGGTGTATAGACAGGGGGATCCACTTATTAGCAACTCACGTACCGGGGGAACAGAACGTGCTGTCAGACTCCCTCAGCCGCAACCCGCTGGCGCACCACGAGTGGTCCCTGAACTGGGAAGAGGTCCACAGACTCTTTCGAGCGTGGGGGACTCCGGACATCGACCTGTTCGCGTCGAAGTCCAATGCCAAGTGCCCCCTCTTTTGTGCGAGGGCTCACGCCTCCGCAGAGGAGGGATGCCTGGGGGACGCCTTCCTGCGCACTTGGACAGGATGGACAACTTACGCCTTTCCCCCCTTCCCCCTGCTGCTACGCACAGTAGCAAAAGTCCAGAGGGACGGCACCTGCTGCATCTTAATAACACCCTGGTGGCCGAGGCAGCCATGGTTGTCCCCGCTCCTCCACCTGGCACGGGGAATCTTCGTGCGACTCCCCACCAGACCCGACCTGCTGACATGCCAACAAGACCAAGTACTGTACCCAGAGGTACACAGACTGAGGCTGACAGCCTGGCGAATTCTGCCCGCCACCTAAGTTCCTTCTCCGATCTGCCTCATGCGGTGCTCCGAATTATCAAGGCGGCCCACAGGCCCTCTACTAAACGTTCTTATTTATACAAATGGTCCAGATTTGCCTCCTTCTCTAGGTCCCACGAGATAGATCCCAATACGGCACCGGTCCCTGTTATACTGGACTTCCTGGCGTCCCTTTTGGACGCAGGTCTCTCGCACCCCTCTATCAAGTGCTACCTGGCCGCCATCTCCTGGTTCCGCAGGAAGTCGGGTATGCCTTCCTGTTTTGCGGACCCGCTAGTGAAGACATTTTTGAGGGGGATTTTGAACATCAGACCCCCTACTACCCCCGTAGTTCCCTCGTGGAACTTGGACCTAGTACTTAAGGTGTTAATGAAACCTACATTTGAGCCATTGGCGACCGTTAGCTTGTCTCACCTATCATGGAAAACTGCGTTTTTGGTGGCGGTCACATCGGCTCGACGGGCTAGCGAGCTCTGTGCCCTCAGAGCGGACCCACCTTATCTAAAATTCCATAGTGATAAGGTCGTCCTGAGGACTGATATAGCCTTCCTTCCTAAAGTATCTACGTCCTTTCACCTCTCCCAGGACCTGATTTTACCCTCCTTTTTCCAGAACCCTACTTCCCCTCTGGAACAGAATCTGCATCTCCTCGATGTCCGCAGGGCACTGGCCTTCTACGTGGACAGGACTGCCTCTATCAGGAAAACCCCTAGACTTTTCATAAAATACCGCCCTGATGTTTTAGGTGGCCCTGTCTCCACAGCGGCTGTCTTCATGGATCGTGTCCACGATTCAACTGGCCTATCGCATATCTGGCAACGATCTGCCTCTTCCGGTGAGGGGTCATTCGACGAGGTCCGTCTCGACATCTGCAGCCCACTGGAGAGGCGTCCCACTGGATGTTGTCTGCCGGGCGGCCTTATGGTCGTCCCCTCTTTCCTTTGTTACCCATTACAAGATGGATGTTGTGTCCAGGAGAGACGCACAGTTTGGCAGAGCTGTCTTGTTTTCAGCGGTGGCATGACGCCCACCATCCAAGGTTAGGAGCTCGCTAATCTATCATATGTGCGATTCACAGGGACTACGACAGGAAACTATAGGTTGCTCACCTGTAACCATGGTTTCCTGAGTAGTCACCTGTGAATTCGCACATCCCCACCCGTCCTCCCCTCGAGTGTCATGCCCCGCGTTCTGTCTGCCTTGCGGCGGAAAAGAACTGATGGCTGGCCCCTCCCACGGGCTACTTATACTCGGGGCGAGGTGGGTGGGGCCAGCTAGGAGTCAAGTGTTTTTTTCTTATTCTAGAAGGTTCCGAAAGCTATTCTGCGTAGGCGCACAGATATCATATGTGCGAATTCACAGGTGACTACTCAGGAAACCATGGTTACAGGTGAGCAACCTATAGTTATTCTTGTGCCCCCTTTTTATTGAATATGCCAGTGTGTAGTATTTTCCATGTGCAAATTGTGTGAAGTCGATTCCAGGAAGATCAAGTCTTTCATTTGCTAATTATGTTGCCCCAAAACAGAAATGTATTTTAGTTGGTAGAGTGTCTATGTATTGACTGTTCTTTTCTTCAAGAGATGCCTGATATAACATTTATTTAATATAACCCAGCCACAATTTCCTTTCCCTCCCTCTTCTCTGCTTTCTTCTGATGTTGAAAAAGTATCCACCCCTGCAGCTGCTCATCTTTTTTATTCTCTCTTATTCTTTGGAATGATACACACACCGAATGCATTCGTCCTGTTGCTGAAGCCAGAGAAAAGGTGCAGTCTAACTCATAGCAGGATATAATTGAGTATCAAATTGGGCATTTAGCAGATTTGTTTTAATAAGCATAAACCTTGCTATATTGTGAGCAGATTGCATTTTATTGTCAGAGTCACAGAGACATGTGTGCACTTCTAGGTATAGGATAGGTAGGTATAGGATAGGTAGTATTTTACTTCTGGCAGTACTGTGAGGTATTGATCCAGAGGTCTCTAACTGTGGTGCACTGCCTCTACAAAAGAGGAGCTTAAAAATATTCATAGGTAGACAACCAGAATGTGGTGCTTTAAAATTCAGCCTATTTCTGTTTAACTGGGAAGAGTTATGGGGATGGAGATTAAGGATTAATGTGTGACCCTAATTGATGTCTTAAATCACAAACAAGGGAGGTTGTCTGACATTAAAGCTTGTAATGCCATTTTCATATGTGACTCTCGGTGAAGCAAGGTAGAATAAGAATTCTCTTTCCTGTACTCAACCAGTAGAAATGCATTGCTAATGTATCATTTCAACCATTGTGACATCTATAGGTATTCACTTGAGTAGTGGGGAAGTACAGTTTGCAAAAGGATATGCTTATTCAGTGAGGCTTACTATTGAGTAGACAGGCACAGGAGTGTATTGTTAACATCTTACAGTCCACTGTTTTGGAAATGGAAGTTTACATCATCTTTGGTTGTAGTGATGCAAATTATGACTTATCCTTATCCTGCACACTGCTGATTAAAAACCTTTTGTGTTCAGAATAGTTTCATGAATGTGTTTAGTTTTTCATAAGGAAATTATTCTTGTATGGTGTCAGAAACTCTAGAGAATTAACATAAGATTTCATAAAGTGATTAAGGGTATCCCGGAATGAGTTCTGCTTAATCTCACAAACCAGGTAAGACTAGCATACACTGGATGACACCTAATAAGTAGCCTGAATAATCTACATTGGATTCATATTGGTTACACCCTCTGTGCCCTGATATATGCCATCTGATAACCCAATTATTTCTGAAACAGCTGCTATTCATGATTTTATGCATAAGTATTTATGTAGCTTTAAAATGGGCTCTTGGATCACATTCTGTTCCTTTAATGCAGGAGTAGGGAATTTGGGGGGCTTCAGGGGACCTTTTTCTGAATTACAGTGGCTACATTGATTGGGGCTGATAGAAGTTGAAATTCAGCAGTGCCTGTAGGTCCACAAGTTCCTTAGCCCTGTTTTGTTAGTGGGAGTTAATGCTCAGTACTCAGATCCACACAATCACGCAACATCAGGTTGCATTCACACAACTGCATATAAGGTTATCTGGATAAGTTCTTGGATCAGGTTGTAAATATTTGCACATTATGTTCCTATTGAATACAAAGATGAACAATTTCAGTTATTTTTCTCCTCACTTCTCAAGAGTACAGGAATTTTTAATGGAATTTGTTTCCATGTCATGTGGGAAAATCCACTTGTGCAGAAATAAGTACAGCTTTCCCATGTAAAAATGTGTTTGAGATTGAAAATCTGTGTTAAACCTATTCTTTTGCATTAAAAGTAGTATATTTTGCACTGGAGGCAGTGTAGTTGGTGCTAAAGATACTGATTCCTATATTAAAATACTGTTTTTTATATAAAAAAAATAGAAAGCATATTTTTGCCCAACAACATGCTTCTGTGCATGTGTTTCTATTCAGATTTCTCCAGATGAATTCTAGCAGCTCTTCTCATTATCTTTGTTCAGGTAATTTAAGTGTCAGGGTGTCTGTTTTCATTAAGGGTTGAAATATTAACAAATATTCTTCACATTATCTGAGTAACATTTTCATTGTACTGGATTTTGGGGCCCAAAGAAGATAGTGTAGATTTAGAAGAGCAAATTCTGGCCCACGACAAAAAAAAAAAAAAAAAAAAAAAAAGACCACCAAACAATTTCATGGCTAATGAATTAATTGTGTTCCAATGGGAATTTGGGACGAGTTTTTCAGAGTGTAGCTTTTATTAGCAAGAAAAATAATTATATTAACCACTGTTGATGCAATTAGTCTGATTGCAGATATCTGGTCTTATGTACAGCCAGGCTAAGTAATGTGTATCTGTTTCTTTTTCAGAGGTTGATGAGCTTCTGTCTTCACTTAAACATGTTCAGCACACTCTGTTAGATCCCCAAAGTCAAGAGGAAATTGCTCTAATTTTACAGCTTGTGCAAAACACTGACTTTCAAAATGCATTTAAGATACACAATGCTGTTACTGTGCATATGAACAAAGCCAGCCCTCCATATCCCCTTATCTCCAATGCACAAGAGCTTGCACAAGAGGTATGTATTGCATATATTTCTTTCTGGTGATAAACTACTAGCTGTCAGTTTATTCAAAGTTGTGAGCCATAGATGTATAATTAAAATATAAAGATGCCAAAAAATAAAATATGCATTATCTAAGTCACTATATGTGTATCAGAAATACAGATTTGAGTTTTGCCTATCATTTAATTCCCATTCAAATAGGCAATTGAATATCTATATTTTCTGTTTCTACCATCTTTTGCTTTTATTTTTCTGTTCTAATGAGTTAAGATGACTAAGTAAACAGAAAGTAGACACGGACTTAGGAGTGAACATGAATTCTACACTTTTTTCAGTATAAGATACCATATATACACATTTTGTACATGACCAGAACATGTATACATAAAACATCATAAATGCACATACAGCAGAGTTGGATCTAGGTTTTGACATAGTTGACTGGTGGAAGTGGACTTTACTGCTACTTTCTTTTCACAGCAGCCTAATGAAAAGGCTACTCAGAGATTCATGGGATGCTGTTGACTGTGGTGAACTGTGGTGGGGGAAGGAGGATCACTCAAAGTTAGTAGTGGGACCATCTGCTAGCAGGTGCTAAGTCCTGAATTCAGGCCAAAGTTCATGTGCACTACTATTGGTGCAAATAAATATTTTATTGTTGACATTCTCAAGAAAGCACACATTGGGGTGGGGGTAGGGGACAGTTTATAGAGTTCCTGTGGAGACAGATTTGGGAAGAAATATTTCAGATTGGGTAAGGTAACTGCACAAATACTTTAAGTATGGAAATAATATTTGTGTCGCCTGACTTACCTGGAGTGTCTAGGTGGAAGAAGTAATGCATCCAGTGAATAGGGCACCTGATGCCCTGTTTTCTTCTCATAAGCCAGCCTCAACACAGAGAAGCCTTGCCTGTTAAATAGCTGGGCATCTGCCCACTCAGTGAATTTGAAGTGGCATGCCACATGTTCATTGGCTGGTGGATATTTTCTCCCAGACGGATTGGGGGAGCCAGAGCAAGATTTGGAAAAGAAAATTCAGATTGGGTCAGGTAATTGCACAGAAACTCTGCGCTAGATATGGAAGCGCCCTTCCCACAGAGATTAGATTAGCACCATCGCTAATGGTCTTCCGCAAAAAAGTAAAGACCTGGTTATTTGTGCAGGCGTTCGAATAATTAGTGCAAGACTGGTAATGACATAGGAATGGAACAATGGATGACGAATCTGGATCATGTTTTTAGTGACGAGATGCTAGTGAATGGTTATCATAGTAATTGTGTATTAATTGTGTATTAGATTAGGTTATTAACTGTTTTATATTGGTGTTTGAATTCTGCTGTGTTCTGTGTCTTGTGAACCGCTGTGAGTCGCCTTCGGGCTGAGAACAGCGGTATAGAAGCAAAGTAAATAAATAATAAATAATAACAAACTTTATTTTTAACCCATCTTCTCTCCCTGGAGGGACTCAAAATTACGGGAAAAAAGAATATTCATTTGCTCTTTCTTTCCAAGAAAGATGTTTTCCGTTGCTCGGGAAGCCCCATTGGGCAGAATGCTGGCAGTCTGAGCCAACTGCAGTATTATTTGGAAGTTGGCAAGTATTCAGATGCACAACTAAACAAGGTTTATCCTTGTTGAAATGTGTTTTCTGCACATAAAAATCACATGTACTTTTTCTCAGAAAATAGTTTTGTTCGAGGAAAATGTGTCCCTGCATAGAAGACATTTCTGGATAGATGAATCCCTTTTAAAGTAGACATGGAATGAGGAGCAGTACAGAAATCTTCATGTTTTTATCCAGCATGGAGAATATTGCAGGGACTATTTTTTCTTGCTTGTGAGGACCAAGAAGAGAAGATGTATCATCTTACACTGTGCACACACCCAGGGGAGTTTCTGACTACTTGTTCAACAATTGTAGATTCTGAATAAATCATATAATTGGTATTATTGTTTGTTTAAATGCTGACTAATTGGGGATAGTTACTAGTACGAGCATTTCTTCCATTGTTGTTGAGGACAATACATAATTTTAATCATAACGCAAAGAAAATATAATACACTATTTTTTCTGAAACTTTAATTTAATTAGAACACCAAGTAAAGCATGCAGGCTTAAGGAATTTATGTGGAGATTAACTCCCTAAAATAATGCAGTGCACTCTGTCTCTGTTATAAAAATAGCTGCTGAACATCAAATTTAATTAAATGGATTGTAAAGCCAGTTAAAGTTGACAAAATTGGAAGCTAAGGTTAAAGAAACATAGCTTGAGTGCTGACCATCAAGATTAGTTGATACAACATTAATGACAGTAGTTTCTGACGTGGAACAGTATGTCTTGTGTTAGCAAGATGTTAGAGTTCTAGTTCTGTAACTTATAATAAACTTTTTTAGAGTGATAATATGTTTTAGCATATCTCAGACATAATGCAGAAATGTTTCATTCTCTTACTGAAGCCATTAAAACAGAGCTGACATACTAGTTTTTCTGGTGCTTGATTCTTCAAGAATTAATCACCTTGGGAATGTTAATGTTTGAGACATGAACGTGTTTCCATTCAACTTTTTTAATGCTGAAATTAATCCATATAGTTATTTAAATACTATGGATTGGATCCAGGATTCTGGTGACATTGGAACAATGGGAACAGTGTTTTTTTCCTGTTCTCCTTTTGCTCTGCAGCCTGGAGTCACCTGCCATGCTGTTCCACAGATTCCTCCAACCCTCTGGAACAACATGGAGGCTCCATTGGGGAGGAAGAGTTGGACAGTTGCCATGTTGCCCCATTTCTCAAGCTAGGAGGTATTTACCATGCCTCCATTATAGTGCTTAAGTAAAAGTATGGGCTTTTCTCCACTGACCTCCATTCTTTTAACATCTCCATTCTCAGCATGCAGTTCTCTTCTTGCTGTCTGTTTACTCATTTGTACAGACAGAAAAAGTCTTACTGACATATTGACATGAAATAACTAAAATTGTCAGTATATTTGTGTTTGTGTATATACAAAATAAAAATACCTTCAGTGGCATATTTTAAATCTAAATGAAAAATGTTGCATAGATTGCAGATCAAAAGACTTGCAATAAAAGGCTGTATGTAGCAGCCACTCAAAAAAAGGACATCAAAAGTGCCCTGCTATTAACAGCATCTGTTTTAGCCAAGCATATTTGTAATCTGAATGCAAAACTGTATTATATCTTTTTCAGAGATTAGTAGGCAAGTATTATTAACTCAAACATTTCCTAATAAACTCATTATTTTCTCTTCTCTTCTGTTCAGAATCTAGGCAAATTCCTAGATGTGTTATTTAAATCCAGTTTGTTAAATTAACAGATTGTCAGAAAATAATTGCAGAAAACTGTACAAAAGAAGTTAAACAGGGAGATGGTGAAAATAAACATTTGCATGATTATATTGTAGCAATAAAAGTAACAGTGTTTTTCATTTTATTTTATGTTTCCTATCTTACTCAAAAGGGCTGGGGAAAAGTCAGATAATGAACTGCAAAATTACATCAACTTGTTCAAATTGAATTCTATTATTATTATTATCATTATAACCTTTCCTATGGATAAATTGGACATCTAAACTCAATTTTAAGTCAGAAACACTTTATTGTCCTTAACATGGAATGCAAATATGGAATGCATTTCAGTGAAATACTGGCCAGTTTTCTATTACAGGAATTAGTGAGATAAGTCATGGAATTTACTTTACAAAAAATTTTGAATTTAATTTTTTGACCAGCTGAGGAAGAGTGAGTGAGGGGAAAAAAAAAATCAAAGTTGGGGAAATTAACTTGAGCAAAATGCTGTCATTTTGTTTACCCCAATTCTTCCTTAGCTCGGTAACCTCTTGTCTCATATTGCCTGCAATTCTCCATATCTTCAAGAGAGGTTTTGTAAGCAGAGCAACCTGAAAAGCAGCTGTAGGGTTTGCCCTTCAGTGGGCACCTGTTCACCAGTAGTACTGCATTAGTTGCAACTGGGTGTTGCTATGTTTTGAGTTGTAATTTGGACAGTAAAGCATCTTTATGCAAAATATTGAAAATCAAAATATTGTCAAAGAAACTGAAAGTACATGAGTACTCTGTTACCTAACATGTTGTGTAAAGTGTGAGGGGAACATTGACAGTATTAATTTACAGAAAACTTTTGAGACTTTGATGAATAGTTGGAGAAAGACCACATCTTTTTGTTAATATAGATCATATGTATGATTTACAAATTGATATTGTCTTAGAATTTGTCAGTATAAGAACAAAATTACTTAGAAGCTGTTTCTGATACATTTAAGGCCCCTTCTACACTGCCATATAAAATCCAGATTGCTTTGAATTGGATTATCTGGCAGTGTAGACTCATAATCCAGTTCAAAGCAGATAATGTGAATTATCTGCTTTGAAAATCTGAATTATATAGTGGTGTAGAAGGGGCCTATATCTTTTAAACTATTCTCAAACAGTGGGTTGTTGTAGGTTTTTTCAGACTTCGACAATACATATTCTCAAACAAATGATGTTGAAACAGAGCTAGTATATCATTACCACAGAGGGTTTTATTGTTCCCTTGATGTGTGAAATTGTTAGTTTTCTGTGTTTGTTTGATAGCTTCAGTATGTACGCTTTCTAAGCTGGTCTGTACTGAAATAAAAATATCCATGTTGAGTCCTATGTATAATTTTTTCATGTGTGCCATGTGGAAAATCAGCCTATGGAAGAATAGATTGAGTTGTAAGACCATTCTGTCAGTATTTTACTTAATTGTGGAAATTTTCTCTTTGGAGATAGTTTAGGATAGTACTTCAGCTGCTTAAGTAAAATCAGAAATTGAGTTTTCATATTTGTTGAAATAGATCAGAGTAGGCAACCACAGTTGGGGTCACCCCTGCGATTTAAAGTGGGCTATCCTACTACATTTTTGGATACAATTGGCAAAGAATAGAAAACAGAAGTAACCAGAAGTTACACTTAATTTCCAGTTCAGGGCAGTTTCAAGCATGGATAATGGCAAACCATTGCATTTTGGAGTGTTGTATGGCAGTATAGTTTATTTTGCCTGATTGGTTTGTTTGTTTGTTTGGGTTTTTTAAAGATAATCTGGAGGCTTAAAAGTATCCTCAAGAGTTAGATCTCAGGGTGGGCTAGCACTCATACATGTGGTTCAAAAGTTAAAAAAAGGAAAAGAACTTCGGAAATCATTTTGTAAGATCCTCCTTATTAAGAGTGTGGCAAAAATACAAAAATCATTTTTATTTGAAAACTCTCCTATGGATATCTACGATGGAGGCAAATCAAAGAAGACTTTTAGGATGGTCTATATGGCCAACCTATAATGAGTTACTGATAAAAGGATTGTAAAGAGGTTGTTAAACTGCTGCCACCAATTGTAAAGAAGACCGTATTAATGCCACCGAATGCCACCGAATGTGAAGGTGCGAGTGGTGAAACACCCACTGCCACCTAATCTATGAGGGAAGCCGGGCAACGATCAATATCAGCCTAGGAATTATTTTTTAAAGGGACTGTTAATTACAGAAGGCTTTAATTCACTTGATAGCGTAGCGTTTACTTTCTTGGCTTGACTTTATTCTTGCAGGCTGTTCAACTTAGAAGAAACTGTATCAGGCAAGACTTGAGGAAAACAGTAACAAGTTTATTTTAACAGGAGTATAACAATGTATAACTGTTCTTCAAAAGAGGCACAAATCTTGATGGATACATTGGAAAGGTTTCATGAGTAAACTCAGGCAAACACTTCATAATGTTTCACAGCTGGCACAACAGGCTTAAACCCAGCCAAACCTTGATTCTTAATTTAGAATCAACAACCCCCTGTACCGGGTCCTTCTCTGCAACCACTTGGTCACCAATTGATTCCCTGAATCTCCACCCTGAGACTCAGTGTTCTCTCAGTAGCTCTCCGGCCACTGACTAATTCCCTGTTTCTCCCACTAGAGAAATCAGTCCCTTCCTGTAGCTCACCGGCCACAGACTGCCACTTTCAAAAAGCTGCACCGTGAAGTGATAGTTGGCTCCGCCCCCGTTGCTATGGCAACTCAGGTCAAGCCACTAGCCACCATCTGTAAAAAAAATTATAGTATGCACTTGTTTTTTTCCCTACTTTCCTATCACCACATTGTTCTCCCACTTTACATGTAAACTTTTCAAACTCACCCTAACCCTTACCCTAACCCCAACCCCACCCGTACCCTCTATACTAAACGTAATAAAAAAAATTAAAAAAGAGTTAGGCTTCACAAAAAGGAGTTTGGGATGCAGACAACCCAAGGGCCACATTTTCGCAACTCCATACTTAGGTGAATACATACTAGCAGAGTTTTCAGGAGAGAAGCGATTAGAGGATATCCTTAACTCTTCTCTGCGCAGTAGTTTTTGTTGTATAGCTCCTATTCACAGGAGTTCTAAATTCACATAACGTATTTTAGAGCCCAGCCTTAGGAGACGGAGCTTGGAAAGGAAGAGGTTATTTACTCAGAGATGGTTGCTTTTGCCTTGAAAATCGGCACTTACAAACCTTTATTTTATACCAATACAGATCATATGTATGACTTACAAATAGATTTTGATCGGAACTAGTAGCAACTAAACATGAAACGGGTAGTCTTGCTCCATGACACCCAGTAGGCGACTGCCTTAAAAGAGTCAAATTCCATGTTGGACATAATTAGTAAATAAATTGAAAATAAACATTCCAAATGCTATACTGCCTTAATATAAACATTTTGAGTGATCACATCTGAAATACTGTGTACAGTTCTGGTCACTACACTGGAAAACAACTATCATAGAGCTGAAATGGGAGGGGGGAGGTCACACCTAAGTCACTCTTGTATCAAATAAGTTTGCATTTTTGGAGACTGTTGTAGGATAGATATGATAGTTACATAAAACCATGCATGATCCCTCTCTATTTCTCTCATAAAACTGGAATCCAAGTTAACTCACTAATGCTGGAGACTAATAGGAGCTCAAGAATAGATAAACAGAATTGCCATACTTCACACAGTGCCTAGTTACGCTGTGGATTTTTTTGTGGCCATGAGATATAGTTATGGCTGTCAATTTTGTATAGCATTAACTGTTTGTATATATTCATAGAATTTAGTCCAGCAGTGGATACTAATCAGCATGACTCAATGTCACTTCCAGGAAGAGAGGCAATATGCCTATGTATATCAGTGGCTGGAGAATCTGAGATTGCGGGGGGGGGGGGGGGGCAATTCAATTCATTATAATCTGTATTCTCCTATCTTTCAGGTACAGAGTGTTTTGAAACCAAGCCATCAAAAGGATGGAGTAGAACTTAATTCATTATTGAATGCCCCTCATATTCAGGTAGGAACATTGCTTTCTTTATTTGTATGATGTCGACATTTTTCGACACCCATAATTTCTGTCGCTTGGGGTACAACAGGGTCCTCAAACTTTTTAAACAGGGGGCCAGGTCACAGTCCCTCAAACTGTTGGAGGGCTGCATTATAATTTGAAAAAACATGAATGAATTCCTATGAACATGGCACATACCTTATTTGTAGTTCAAAAAACACTTAAAAAATAGAATAATTAAAATGAAGAACAATTTTATAACAAATATAAACTTATTAGTATTTCAATGGGAAGTGTGGGCCTGCTTTTGGCTGATGAGATAACGTTGTTGTTGTGTGCTTTCAAGTCGTTTCAGACTTAGGTTAACCTTGAGCTGAGGGCCGGGTAAATGACCTTGGGGGGCCATATCTGGCCCCCGGGCCATAGTTTGAGGACCCCTGGGGTACAACATGGTGATTTAAAGAATACAGGTATTTATTGTCTTGAATTTTGAAATCCAAAACGCTGCAAACTCCAGCTTTTAGAGCTGCAACACATACATATACCTATATTGTGTTTATGAGGCTGTAGAGAGACATGATTGAAGAAAGATGTGAAATGATGCCAGTTGAATCATTCACACCTAGCTCCAACAGACAAGAGTTCTTCCTCCCACCCTGGACCTTCCAAAGATATATAAACCCAATTTTCCTAGTTTCCAACAGACCTCACAACCTCTGAGGATGCCTGCCACAGATGCAGGTGAAACATGGTCATACAGCCCATAAAACCTACAACAACCCAGTGATTCCGGCCATGAAAGCCTTCAACAACACATTGAAATGATGCAGTTGAAAATATTCTCATGTCTGTCTTTAGCCAAACATACAGGAGTGCCACTGCTCTCACTTGAGGCAAGGGAGACTAAAAAATGTATGCCTGGCAGCTGGGGATCACCACTGCCAAAAAATACAGAGCACTTCTGGTCTCAAGCATTTCAGACAAGGGATACTTAACCTGTAATTGTTTCATGCTGGGCAGAGCTGAATATTTTTTTAATCTTTGTTCTACAATGGCACTGTGGAGGTGCTGCAGTGGTTCCCTCTGCAATTGAAATTTGCATCTTTGTATTTTTCTGCAGTGTAAATGTCAAAATTGTAACACTGAGTGCATTGTCCTGTATGCACATGTTGCTAGTTTGAAGGGCAGCCCATATAACTAAAGGTTCATAATTGCAGTCTCTTTCCCATGACAGCCCATCCATTTTTGAATTAGAAGAAAGCACCGTTCTTTTTATTTCCTTAGTCGAATTTTTAAGCTGTCTTACTTTGCGCAAATTAACTCTAATGTGTGAATGCAACCTTTCTTTAAATAGCACTATTTCCTTTACACTAGGCACTGCTTTTGGCTCATGATAAAGTTGCTGAGCAGGAAATGCAGCCAGAACCATTAACAGATGAAAAGATTTATGAAAATGTTGGTCTTTATGGAGGAGAGACAGTTAAAATAGTTCGTATTGAGAAGGCTCGGGATATCCCTTTGGTGAGTAAACTGAAATTCCAAGAAAAAGATATGATCACTTCCATGATATTTAGTCACATGTTTGTTATGCATTCTCCTTTTAAAAAAAGGAAAAAAGAATACTTGCAACCAAGTATATGAAATGAGAGTGCAGGCATGAATCGAAAACTGAAAAATAATTGTTACTGTTTTTAGACTGTTCCTTAAATTTTCATGTTTATTTCATGAGAAAATAAGCTTATTCTCATAGGGCTTATTCTCCAGACCCTTGATCATTTTAGTTGCCCTCCTCTGGACACATTCCAGCTTGTCAACATCTCCCTTCAATTGCGGTGCCCAGAATTGGACTCAGTATTCCAGGTGTGGTCTAACCAAGGTAGAATAAAGGGGAAGCATGACATCCCTGGATCTAGACACTATGCTTGTATTGATGCACGCCAAAATCCCATTGGCTTTTTTTGCCGCCGCATCACATTGTTGGTTCATATTTAACTTGTTGTCCACAAGGACTCCAAGATCTTTTTCACATGTACTGCTCTCGAGCCATGCATCCCTCATTCTGTATCTGTATTTTTTCTGCCTAAGTGGAGTGTCTTGCATTTGTCACTGTTGAACTTCATTTTGTTAGTTTTGGCCCATCTCTCTAATCTGTCAAGATCATTCGGAATTGTGCTCCTGTCTTCTGGGGTATTGGCTATCCTTTCCAATTTGGTGTCATCTGCAAACTTGATGATCATGCCTTCTAACCCTTCATGTAAGTTGTTAATAAAGATGTTGAACAGAACCTGGAACTCTGTGGCACTCCGATTGTCACTTCTTTCCAGGATTATTATTATTATTATTATTATTATTATTATTATTATTATTATTATTATTTATGACATTTATATGCCGCCCTTCTCACCCCGAAGGGGACTCAGAGAGGCTTACAAGTAAAATGTAAATACAATAAATACAATATCTTCCTGGCCCCCCCTTTACTCTGGACTCAGAGCATTAGTTGGTGTTGGGGGAGGAATTCCCAACTGATGACACTAAAGACAAGATGGCACTGTCTTCTTGGCCCCTCTCTGGTCCCAGAGCAGCAGTTGGTGTTGGAGGAGGGGCTCGCAACTGGTGACACTGAAGACAAGATGGCACTTACTCTTTACAGGATGAAGAGGAAGCATTGGTTCGTTCACTTAACCAATTACAGATCCACCTAACTGTAGTTTTGCCTAGCCCACATTTGACTAGTTTGTTTGCCAAAAGGTCATGGGCGACCTTGTTGAAGGCCTTACTGAAGTCCAAATACACTACATCCATGGCATTCCCTGCATCTGCCCAGCTTGTAGCTTGGTCATCCAGCTTCTGCTTAAAAGCCTCTAAACAGAGAACCTCTGCCACACTCCAAGGCAGCATATTTCACTGCCAAACAGCTCTTACAGTCAAGGGGTTCTTCCTAATGTTTAGGTGAAATCTTTTTTCCTTCTATTTGAGTCAATTGAGCTGTGTCCTAGTCTCCAGAACAGCAGAAAACAAGCTTGCCCTTTCTTCAATGGTGAAATTATTTCAGATATTTAAACATGGCTGCCATATTTCCTCTTGACCATCTTTCTCCAAGCTAAACATACCCAGCTTCTTCAGCCATTCCTCATAGCACTTGGTTTCCAAACCTTCAATCATGTTGGTCACCCTTCTTTGGGTGTGTTCTAGTTTGCAAACTTTCCACCTTCTTACATGTGCACCATGTGTGAAAAAGGGTACCCTCCTTATCTTGATACACCCAGCATTAATTTGAAAGATTCTCTGACATTTTCTCCAGCTTTTATGAGTTTAGATGCATTCTGTACATCATTTTATACAAGTTTTCTTTTAAATTATTGTACAAAGTAAAATTTATATCTTTGGACCATATTTTCCCCATACATCAATATGAATACCATGTCCAAAATTTTGGGCCCACATTATTATGGAGTTTTCTATGGGTTCTATCCTTAATTTCTAAATTGATTTATATACTTTTTAAATTACGTGGTTATTGTCTTTACACAACTTTAAATAAAACTCTTTTCCAGCTTCTGTGGTTACCTTTCTCTTATCTTGATTAAATGTGCCCTTAAATTGCATGTAAGCAAGCCAATTAAGATATTTGCCTTACTTTAAAAAATGCCTCTCTTGTTTTTAACTTTCAGTTGTCTTGTTCAAAGTGCAAAAATTCTTTCAAATATTTAAACAATTCTTTCCTTTAAAAAAGGTTTGCTGTGGTGAGTTGACTAATATTACCTTAAGAAAAATACCTTCTTGTATTTACACCAAACTCATAGAAGAGTCTTTCCAATGCAATAATTTTTAAATTTATAATATATATATATATATTAAATGCTTTGAAATTGTCACTGTAATTTATGCAGGGTGCTACAGTACGCAATGAAATGGATTCAGTCATTATTAGTCGAATAGTGAAGGGAGGTGCTGCAGAAAAAAGTGGCTTGTTGCATGAAGGTGATGAAGTTCTGGAAATCAATGGAATTGAAATTCGTGGGAAAGATGTTAATGAAGTCTTTGACTTACTGGTATGTTGAATTTGCTGCTTTTGTTATGATTTTGTAACTTGCTGCATAACATAATTTCACTAGGTATTTAAATCTCCCAAATTCCAGCATTTTTGTGTTTTGGCTTTTGCGTATTTAGTAAAAAGCCTGTTCTTCATTACATTATCTAAGGTCACAGGAGAGTAACCTCCTGATAAATGCCTTCACTATATCAAGCAGAAATGACAAGGGCAGAGAGAGAAGATAATACCTGCTAATACCAGTTCTAAAATCTTTATCCCATGGAGTTCTTACACAGGTTTCATTAGCTAGTAGTATGTGGTTTTATATAGTTGAATGTGTAGTGTGCGTGCTAGAATTCTGTCTTCATTTTTTATATTGTCCATTTTGACAATATGTTTGGGTGAATTGGACTTGTCATATAAATCATAGGACATACAGGCATTCCCCAAGTTACAAACATCCAACTTACAAATGACACAGTTAAGAAGGGGGGTGAGGCAACAGGAAGTGAGAGAAATCTACCCCTAGGAAAGGAAATTCACTCCTGAAAGAGTTATTTTGGGGAAAAGGTGTCTCAACTGAAGTTTTATCACCAATCCTTGTTTCAATAACAAGCCCTTTTTTTCTTCTCAAAATCACAGGTACAGAAAGTGGGGTAAAATCTTCTGAGCAGGGGAACAGATAGCAAAGCAAACACCACAGGGCTGTTAGCAGTTCCCTGTGCTATTCAAAGCTAAAATATATATTTTGCTGGAGTTACACTTTAAAAATGTACCTGTTTCGACTTGAACTTAAGAACAAACCTACAGAACCTATCTTGTTTGTAACTTGGGAACTGCCTGTACTGGGAAGAGCTTCCATTCTCTGTGATGTCTGAGAAATGATGTTATTTTGTTCAAAGAGGAGTGTGAAGTATGTACTCTCCAGTCATCGTTGAACTGCAGCTTCCAGTATTCCTTTCCTTTGGCTATACTGGCTAAGGCTGCTGGGAATTGAAATTCAAGATGCAGATGTTTTCCTCTGCCTCTTTTAAATTAGAAGCTCTTAGGATAAGGCCCTGTCACCCCTGTTATTTGTGAAGGATTATACGTGTAAATGGTATTACAAACAAATGTTGGAATGCTGTACATTCTTCTACCTCATCCTAGCTCTGCATGCAAATTCCTACCTCGGAAAAGCCAGAAACACCCATCTGTCTTATTCTGTCTTTTTACTAGCTTTACAGCTTTCTTACTGATGTAGTGTCCAAGCCGGCTCTGTTTGACAGTAAGAGTTGGAATTGTGGTGAAAAGATAGGAACCACATAATGGATCAAAGGTCCACGCCAACGTTGTATCTCTCCAGTATTGGCCTGAAATATGTGCTGCCATGTCCAGTGAGCTTGGCTAATATCTGAGAAGAACAGTTCCTCATAGAAATGTGCAAAGCACATTCAAGCAGGGATTAGGAAATTGGAACTGATATTCAAAAGAATGCCCATAAATTAAGAGTAGCAGCTTGAAATTCCATTCCACTGTAGAAGCTATTGTTGTATATCATATAAAGTGAAGACTTTTGCTAACCCCAAGAACATTTTAAATTCATTTCTGCTTTTCCTCATAGGCAGATATGCATGGTACTCTGACGTTTGTACTGATTCCTAGTCAGCAGAGCAAACCACCACCAACTAAGGAGACTGTGGTATGTCATTGCCGTACAGTATATAAAAACAACCTAAATCGATGTTCCATTTGTGTTTAAATTTTGTTGTGATTCTTGTTGTTTAATCGTTTCATGCATCTCCTATTATTGAAGAATATTTAAACATGCCTATGTTTTGAAAATATTTGCTTCCATCATTTTAAAAGGGAATTTTCCTGGAATATTTATTTTTCGATTCTGTTTTAAAAGTGTGACATATTATGTGAAATCATCATCATCACTTTATTTTTATACCCCGTCTCAATCTCCCCAAAAGGACTTGGGGCAGCTTACAAAGTGACAAGGCTAAAAAAAAAAAAACACACGGTTAAAACATAGAACAATAAAATAAAATGAAAAAATCAACAAAAACGAGCTAAAATTAACACATCACAATAACAGAACAACATCATAAAAACAATCCCATGTCTGAACAATAATAAAAGCTGAGTTCGGAGGACTCAGAGTTTGTGCAATAGTTTCTGGATAGAGCTAAGGGAAAGTGCAAAATTCAATAAAGGTAGGGCTGGGAGAGTAATGTCCTTTGGCATTAAAATGTCAGGATTAAAATAAAATATATTTTCCTTCATAGATATTTAATTGGGAGCAGAAAGTAATATTTTAAATGCTTTATGGAATGGTTATAGGTTCTACGAACACCCAAGAATAATAGTTTGAGAGCGCGAACTCCCTTGTGCAGGGGCAAAAATAGCTTTCTGGGTGTTTAGATACAACTATGTAACATTCAGATCTAATCATGTAATGGTCTTGGAAGTCTATTCCATCTGATTTTCAGTTCTGCCCTACCACGTCTTAAGGCTTTCCTGAAAGTTCCCTGACCACCACAATGCTAAGATGTTTTTAGGGAGTATAGTGGTGAGTAGGAAAGAGGGAAATATGCTAGCGTTCAGTTAGCAGCTTTCTCAACTCATTTACTATACATTCTATTTCAGGTTGACTTGAATGTTTTTTTTTTCAAAATACATAAATACACTCCCCACTAATTGCATATGTATTCTGTGTGAATTGCATATGTATTCTGTTGGTGGAAAGGCCCTGGTATTTTCACTTGTGCTGTAATTGAGGAATAAGGCTGGGAATGGTTTGCTTCTGTACTTCTGGGATTAACCTTATACCTTATGTTCTCCACTACAGATTTTTTCCCCCATTTAATTTCTATTTTTGTAGGGTCCAGTAAGATATTTCCTTGCTTCTCTTCAACGTCTGTCCAGTCCCCTGGAGGTATCTTTTGTAGTTGCCTTCAAACACAAATAATTGTTCTTCCATTGAACAGAGTGGCAATGTCCACATTTCCCACATGAATAGGACAATGTCTTAAATAGGTGATTGGGAGAAAAGAAGGACATGCATCCAGAATTTTCATAAAAAAATATTTTATTTAAAATTGATAAGGGTTCACTTCAACAAAATTTGGTGAAATAGTTTTCTACCTCTTGATTATCTATCTTGTTAGTGGCATTTGCCAGCCTAGATCTGTTTTACACTTGAACATTCATGTCTGGGATGTTGTGGATATTGGAATTCCTTTATTGCCTTCTGTGAAGGAGGTCCGTTATTAAACTGCTGCCACCAACTGTGATGATGACCGTTTTAATGCCACCGAATACCACCAATTGTGAAGGTGCACGTGGTAAAGCACCCACTGCCACCTTATCTATGAGGGAAGCCGGGCAACGATCAATATCAGCCTAGGAACTATTTTATAAAGGGACTGTTTCTGGCTGACTTTATTATTGCAGGCTGTTCAACTTAGAAGAAACTGTATCAGGCAAGGCTTGAGGAAAAAGTAACAAGTTTATTTTAACAGGAGTATAACAATGTATAACTGTTCTTCAAAAGAGGCATAAATCTTGATGGTTACATTGGAAAGGTTTCATGAGTAAACTCAGGCAAACACTTCATAAGGTTTCACAGCTGGCACAACAGGCTTAAACCCAGCCAAACCTTGATTCTTAATTCAGAATCAACAACCCCCTGTACCGGGTCCTTCTCTGCAACCACTTTGGTCACCAATTGATTCACTGAATCTCTAAGAGATTCAGTTTTTCCCTATAGCACACTGGCTACAGACACATTCCCTGAATCTCCACCAAAAGATTCAGTGTTTTCTCAGTAGCTCTCCGGCCACTGACTGGATTTTTAAAACACAGCTGCCTCTGAAGAGGCGGTTGGCTCCGCCCCTGTTGCTATGGCAACTTAGCTAACATCAAGCCACTCCCACAAAACATAACCTCCCATACTTACCATCCCTAAACCATTGTCCAAACTACACATAACCAAAGGAATAAAATTTACACATCGTCACACCTCCCAACCCATAGGGATTATTTTTGACTTTTCTACCAACTAGAATGGTCAAAAATAATTTGGATAATACCAACATCATATAACTATATACAAACCATATTTTGATCAGTTATCTAATAACACTGGTTAAGGCATCCTGGAAAGTGAGTCCGCAACAACATTGGTTCTACCTTTTACATGCTCTATATCAAAGGTATAATCTTGCAATGATAAACTCCACCGTAAAAGTTTGTTGTTGGTGCTTTTGGTGTTATCCAGCCATTTTAATGGGGCATGATCCGTTTGAAGAGTAAACCTTCTTCCCCATAAATAAGGCCGCAACTTTTGGATGGACCATATTATAGCTAGACATTCCTTTTTGATAGTGGACAAACTACATTCCCTGGGCAATAGCTTTTTACTTAAAAATAGGATAGGATGACTCTCTTCTTCCTGATCTAATTGGCTTAATACCGCCCCCAACCCAGTTTCGGATGCATCACATGTTAAAGTAAAGGGTTTATCACAGTCTGGGGCTCTCAATACGGACTGTGAAGCTATGGCCTGTTTTAACTGATCCATAGACCTTTGACATTCTGCAGTCCAATTTATTTGATTAGGGCAACTCTTTCGTGTAAGATTTGTCAAAGGTGCCGCCAAAGTACTAAAGGATGGGATAAATTTTCGATAATATCCTGCCAACCCAAGAAATGATCTCACTTGTTTCTTTGTCTTAGGTATGGACCACTGATGTATGGCTTCCACCTTGGTAGGTTCTGGCCCAATGATACCACAACCCACAATGTGTCCTAAGTACTTGGTGATGCGGTTACCCATGTGGCACTTAGGGGCCTTGATCGTTAAACCTGCCTCCTGTTTGCAACACTTGGTTAATGTGTTTTAAATGGTCTTCCCAGGTGGTACTAAAGATTCTAATATCGTCCATGTATGCAACGCAAAAGTCCCCATTCCATTAAGTACATTATCCACTAACTGTTGGAATGTGGCTGGGCTGTTTCTTAAACCAAATGGTAAAGTGGTGAACTCATATAATCCTTCATGAGTTCTAAATGCAGTCTTCTCTTGCCAAAATCCTTTTGTTAAGTCTAAGCTACTAATATAATTGGCTTTCCCCATCCTCTCCAACAAGTCATCTAACCGGGGCATTGGATAGTTATCGAGTTGTGAGACCTTGTTTAGGAGCCTATAATCCACACAGAACCGTATGGTGTTGTCCGGTTTTTGGACTAGTACAATAGGCGATACCCATGGGCTACTAGATGGAACAATAACACCCATTTCTAGCATTTCTTTTATCTCCCTTTCAATACATTTGGTTAGCTTCCCCGTGACTCTATATGGAGATGAAGCTATAGGTGGGGAATCACCGGTAAGGATTCAATGGTGAACTCCTTTTACCCTTCCTGGAAGATCTGAGAATAATTGGTTATACTTGTTAAGTAACTCTTTAATCTTGGTTTGTTGTTCCTGGGATAATTCTTCATCAATCTTTACCAGGTCAATATTACAATAAGCTTTTCGATTTCCTTCCCAGAAAGAAAATGTCCCTGTCTCTTCACCAGTTATTTATTTATTTATTTGAAACATTTATATTTATAACCATATATACATTCGCAGTCTTATTTACATAGGGTTTCAACATATTAACATGCACCTGTCTTTCAATAGCAGTCTGTTCATCAAAGATCAAGTAGTTGACACTACTGTGTTTCACCAGTTATAACCATATATACATTTGCAGTCTTATTTACATAGGGTTTCAACATATTAACATGCACCAGTCTTTCAATAGCAGTCTGTTCATCAAAGATCAAGTAGTTGACACTACTGTGTTTCTTGGTCACCTTCCATGGACCAGTCCAGTCTAACTGAAGTTTATTGGACTTTGCCGGGGTGAGATAGAGGACCTCATCACCTATGTTGAAACTTCTGCATTGTGATGACAGGTCATATCTCGACTTCTGCTTCTGCTGGGCCATTGCCATATTGTCTTTGGCAATGTTCCTTGCCGTCTCCAACGTGGACTGAAGATCCTGGAGGTATCTGGTTACTGGTTCCCGCTCCAGATACAACTCCCAGAACACTCTCACTAGGTCAAGTGGACCTCATACATGCATGCCATATAGTAGCTCAAACGGACTGTATCCACTGCTTTCTTGAGGGATCTCTCTGTAGGCAAAGAGAAGTTGCTGTAGTTTTACATCCCAGTCATTTGGATGTTGCTGACTGTAGGCCTTAATCATTCTCACCAAGGTCTTGTTAAAATTTTCTACAAGCCCATTGGTTTGTGCATGATATGCAGTGGATGTTAAATGTTTAATACCGCATAGCTCCAGTAACTTCTCCATCAGCCTCGAGGTGAATTGAGTCCCTAAATCAGATATCAGTTCCTCTGGATACCCCGCCCTTCCCCATATGGACAGTAGAGCATTTGCCACTGTGGTCGTTTCTATATTTGACAATGCCACAGCTTCCGTGTAACGAGTGGCATAGTCCATCACCATTAAGATATATCTGCAGCCTCGCCAACTTGGCTTTGGCAGAGGGCCCACAATGTCAATACCAACTCTAAAGAAAGGCTCGCCGATAATTGGCATGGGAATCAATTGAGCTTTTGTTTTATCTTGGCCGGAACTGATCCTCTGGCAGATGGTACATGCCAGGCCAAAAGAAGTTTTTTGCAATGTGCAGGATAGTGCGCCTAATTCCCATGTGACCTCCTTGTGGGCTGGCATGTGCCACCTGCATGAGGTGCCCACGATTCTTCTGAGGTACCAAAGCTCCAGAAGCAGCTGGAGACTTGTGGTGAAACCGAGCATGCCCCCCCCCAATAAGAGATAGTAACTTATAGTTCTGCAAAGGACAAGGGCACCAGACTGCACAATAGGGTCAATATGCAACTAACAACAGCAAGGACCCCATGAGGCTTTCAGGGAGCAGATTGGTCCCTGGGCTCCAGCCCATGGAAAGAGTTACAGTTTTCCAAGGACCATGGGACCGGCTTCCATCCCAGTGTTGCAGGGCTTTGTGTTTTGGCCCAGTGGAACTCCATAGACTCCTTTTGGTGGCTTTTTTATTTCTGCTACATTCCTGGACTTCACTCTCTTCAAGGACTCGCTCTCTACCCATGAACTTTCTTCAAGACAACTTATGAATTCATGTTGTGTCATGATATCATTTGCATTTTATTATTGTTATTATTAATTCCTCTCTGGGGACCTGGATGGGAAGGTACCTGCATATGATTTCCCTGTGTATAATCTCTATATGATTTCTATGTTTCCTTGTGTTCCTGAC